TCAAGGGGGCAGCAACCCAATCACACAAAAAAGAAACCAAGTAAACTATTGGTAATGCTGTTATTTCCATGTGCATGGGATTAAAGGTATGCCCTGGTACAATCAGCATGCACTGTGCAGGCTAAGATTGTTAAAGTCCTTTCCCACATAATGTACAAGAAAGAATCCAGGTCTGAAGACTCGCCAGATTGGTCTTCCTGGTCACCTGCCCCTGTAGCTAAATAAGTGGTTTTTAAAACACCACTTCAATCAGCATAACAATCACCTTCTCTTAAACTTTACAAACATACTGTTTTCTAGGCTTCTTCCTATTTTTACTGCCACAAGGGTTATAAAAGCAATATGTGTAAGCCTGCCTACAAAAGAAAACTGTTTTCCATAAATAAATAAAATTGGGCTCTACTGGCAAATCCGGACGAAGAATAAACAGACTTGGACGACTTAGTCAGAGTTATCTCCCGTCGCCGCACTCCGAACAGTAATCGGAAAACAAACGAAACAAACGACAAACTTACCTATCATCCTGCGGTTGCGTGTAGGGCTGCGTACGGTTGCGTGAGACATCGTGGCATCATCATATGGTTGCGTGCACAGTTGCGTACGGTTGCGTGAGGCATTGTGAATGGTTGTGTAGTCATCATCATGCGGTTGTTGGATTAGAGTTAGGGGTAGGGTTAGGGTTAGGGGTAGGGTTAGGGTTAGGGTTAGGGGTAGGGTTAGGGTTAGGGGTAGGGTTAGGGTTAGGGTTAGGGTTAGGGTTAGGGTTAGGGGTAGGTTTAGGGGTAGGGTTAGGGGTAGGGTTAGGGTTAGATGTGAAAATTTTGACGTAGGATTTCGAAATACTGGCCGACAATATGATGTTTGTGGGTGTGGCGCCACTTAAACTCTGCCAAATATGACGCTAATAGCGTGCGGCTGGTGCCCCCAATCGTTGGCGAATTGTGCGTGTGACCAGCATCCAGAGGCCCTCGATTGTTTGTTTGTGTGTATGGGACTGTGCGCGATTATAGGGAACTCCGGCGTCAAAATTGTCAAATCTAACGCTAATCCTAACCCTACCGCTAACCCTAATCCTAATCCTAATCCTAACCCTAACCCTAACCCTAACCCCTACCCCCTAACCACGCAAATTTATCGATCATTAAAGCATACAAATCGGCAAACACCAACAAACAAAACATACCCAAAAAAAAAAAAAAAACACCCAGAATTGTCCTGCAGTGTCGAAAAAAAACCCAGATCTGGGGGAAACAACCAAGCATTGGCAGCCCTGATGTCGACGTGACTGTCTTCTTTGTTTCGTTGTGGATTTTCCGATCACTGTTTGGAGTGCGGCGACGGGAGAGAACTCTCACTAAGTCGTCCAAGGCTGTTTATTCTTCGTCCGGATTTGCCAGTAGAGCCTAAAATTGTATTCCACAAACATCATTCTAAAAGACTATTCATAGTCAGATTGCAGAATAAATATTTTTTTTAAACACAAAAGAAATTGCAGAAGTTAAGATACTGAACTCTATGCTAATCTATACAGTCCTCTTCATTTTTATCTCACAGAACAGCAACAACAGTAATAATAATCAACATATTCATCAAAAACAAATAAGTAGAATTTATAACATTCTACATTCCTTAAAAATGTCATTAAATGTTGTCTATATAGAAACTAATTCACAGCCTCAGATTATTACTGTGTTTCTAAAATATTCAAATAAAATAACACCGCCATCAATCAGTGGCAGTGAAAGCCAGAAACTGTTGCTCACAAATCTTCCATGAACCAAATCAGTTCAAGTAGACAGCAAACATGCATGACATCTGTTTCTAATACATATATAATACATATATAATAATTAGGGCCGTACCAAATATTCGCTTCGTATTCGCTTCAGAACCGACTTAACTTGTTGCATGGCATGGAGGCGTTATGAGGAGAGGGAAAATGGAAAATGTGGTGACCACTGGAAAGATCTGTGGAAGGAGGGATAGAGGAAGCGGATACATACTGCAGGAGATCGCAGATTGTGGCGAGGCATAATAGCCCAGGTCAGTCGACAAGGCACCTGATGATGTTGATACACTATTCGTATTCGGCTGAATAGTTAGTCCCGCTATTCGTATTCTGCTGAATAGTGAAAATCACTATTCGGTACAGCCCTAATAATAATTACAATAATAATAACCTAGTCATGTGAATCACGCATTTGGTGAAAATGTAATTATTTAAAAAAAATAAACAAATGGTGAAGAGAGCATGCAAAGATTAATTTTAGCTTGTATAAATTGATGAAAATCAAGCAACAGATTTAAAATTTTAAAAATAAAACAGCAAAGTGTATAAATCCATAATTACTTGTATATTCAAAATTACTGAGGGAATGTCACAGTATGCCATTACTGACCATCACCAACCAAATCCAGGAAAGCCACCAGCATGTTCTTTGAAATCAAAGTACGGTTAGGCTTCAACTTTGGTAGATTTAGTGGTTGTTTCCCTTACTTTAAAAAAAATGATGATACTCGTGGAGGGGTTTTCAATTAGGCCAGAAATAGTAGCATTAATTAAAAAAATATGGTTACTTTAAATTGTATGAGCTACACAATATGTCAAGATGGCAGGGATGACTGTTAATACTTCAAAACAAACTGCAGATATTATTAGGGGTTTAAAAAAAAACCAGGCAACATCATAATAATTTCATGATTACTTTGCTTCCTGTTGCTTAGTCAACAAAACCACGTTTATCATCAAAGGAAAGGAAGTCGGTTAGTTCATCACTCTGTTTAGATTTAGTGGTTGTTTCCCTTACTTTAAAAAAAAATAATTTAAACAGAAAAGTTATTAATTAAAAAAATATGAATTATTTTATTGATATGAACTATGTATCATGTGTATCTGTGGACTTCAAGCTTGCCCGTCTGCTCGGTAACTAAGGGTTCAATCCCCTGGATTTTTCATAATACTTTCCAAGACTCCAAATTTTTTTCTGCTTCTTCTCTACTTCTAGTTTCTTAGGGTAAAGTTTCTAACAATATTTAATTAAAAAAAAAATTTTTTTAAAAGACTTTTTTGAAAAGATTTATTATTTTTGATGATTTCATTTGCAAAAGGCAGAGACAAATTAATACTATGTTTCAGTTATGACAGTTACTGCTACCACAGCAAAGACATAATACTGACAAGCTGTAATGTAAGGTAATACCATTATTTTTAAGTATTATGTTTTATGGAGGGTCGTACTAGTCTAAAAGCTAGCAAGGGTGCCTGCCAGACCTGTGTTTGAGTCCCCTTTGAGTCAGGATAATTTGTACTGATCTAGTTACCAGATCAGACTTGTCTAAAATGAGTACCAGGAAAAATTTTAGGCCAGCTGACACAGCAATGACCAAATCACCTATAAAGTGCTGATAGCTCTAAAAATAGCAATCCAATGCCATTTACCTAAAAACTGTTTAAAAAATAAATAAAAGGCCTTTTTGACATCACTGATGCATAGACTTGAAGTGCTAGAACCATGGTTGCACAGACCATATAACCTGTACACCTGTCTTTTTAACTGTATGTATGTTCATCATCATCAATCAGTGCATGCTTTACAGAAGATTGCTCTCTTTATTGCACACCTGAAAGTCTTTCTTTCAACAACCAATTCTCAAGCCCTGTGTGCCAATGTACCTTTCACGTCCTGTATCCACCTTTGCCGAGGTCAGCCTGTGTCTTGTTTTCCGGAAACTGCACAGCAAATCTTTCCAGACTACCATGGTGCTTGACATGTCCAAAATACTATATCTTTCAGGAGAGGATGCGGTTTATACCAGCTAGTTCTCACTGATGTTCAGATCATGCAGGAGGTAGACATTTTTCTTCTTCTTGTTATTCTAAGAATTTTTCTGTAGTGTTTTAAATAAAAAACTCATTTTCTTCAAAAACTGAGTGAGAGTTTATGACTCACATTCACAAGTTGCCAAGAGAAAGATACATAGCTGAGATGTTACTGCATGTAGGCCTAATATTTGTCTCACACTGATACAACAAATGTTTACAAGGGGAACCATATATTGCAGATGAAGATACGGAACAACTAACAGGCAAAAATAAAACTGACACAAAGAGAGAAAAAACACATGCAAAAATCAGAGGTTTTTATAAGAAACTGTTACATCAATTCATGAAATCGTGTTTAATTATTTAAATGTATCATATATGCTCAGCTGAATGACTTCACAAGTGACCTCATCTAATAACCACCAAAAAAAAAAGCAAATATGAAAGAAAGATGTTCACAAACTGATTAAAAAAAATGTAAAATCAGTCTCGCTTATACAAAGTTATATCACAGTACAAATGTTGGGAAAAGAGGTTTCAATGTTGTTACTCTAAATGCTGAACAAATACCATAGAATTATTGCACACTTTCCTGGACTAGAACCATTTACATTCATTTGTGTTTTACATGTGATCTAATGCCACCAGGACCATACAACGATCGAACAACATCTGGTGACACAAAGTGCTAGGATTTGGATGAGGATCGCCCGCACATAAGTCCCAGAAACCCCATTTAACCGTTAGGTTAAATTACGGCCCCTGACTACAGCCAGGATGGGGGGCCTTAAAATAACGAAATGTTGCGTCCAATATGGGGACTGAAGTCAAATATATGCAATTATTATGAACACCTGCAAAGCTGGGTTAAGTATTTAACAATATATGCAATAACAATATTTCTGTATTACTATACGTTTTTTTAAAGAATAAAAGATGCACATCAAAAGTAACTCAAATGAACAGTGCCGACACACTAATCTATCCTAAAACAGTTTTAAAAGAAAATGCTGTATCCGAACTAACCAATTAGGAAGATAAAATTAACTATTTGGATTTTCAGCAAATTTGCTGAACTTGTGGATTATTTATGGTCAGCAATGAAACAAAAAAGACTGTTTTGTGTGTTCACAAAAAATCTGATATGACGTGTTAACATCAGGTGTCAGCAGACCAGCTAGACCAGTGCAGAATCATGGTGCTCATTCATAGCTGCAGTGGAAGGCAGTTGAATGTGATCTTTGTTCTGAATTGTTCTTATTGTGCTTTCCCAAACTGACAAACACTGAAACAGAAGAAACAGAAGACATTTAGGCTAGTTTTTAATTTGCTGTTGATCACCAGCACATCAAATTCTATTTCACAGAGAAACTGTTCACTGCAAGCATGCCTTCTGACATCATTTGATAACATCAATGATGAAAACAGAATCAGTAGCCACATTAAAACATGGCAATTTGCTAACAACATTTCTTTTAAAGTCTTAGAATAAGACAACTACCATAAATAAATGACAAGAGACTCGCATGGTTTTCCTATCAGTCAATTTCTGAAATAACTGATCCCCCAGCCCATCCCCACACATGATACTTTCCAACTAAACTTAACTAGTATGTTGCAACTAGCATTATTTTCAACTTGCACTACGCTGTGGCAAAGGAGTGAGAAGACACCATGTTAATGAAATACCTAGACATCTTGTGCCATATCTAGTGAAACTGACAACTAAGCTAAGTCTGCAGGTGTTTCAAGTGTCTTGACTATCACTAAACTACATGCTCTCCCTTTAAACAAACTCTGACTTTTAACAGCTGAAAGTTTCTTTAGAAATCTGCTTCTTCTGCATTAAACCCAAGAAGGGCTGTTGGTACATTGTGGTTTACAGACAGGATGTGATACATGTCATCATCATCAGTTCTCGTTATGCCTAGTGGCACATGAGGCTTCAGAGAGGACTTTCCATGCTTTCCTGTCCTGTGCAATCTTCATTGCAGTTTTCCATGTCAAAGATGCCGCACTCAGGTCATTTTCCATCGTTCGTCTCCATGTGGTTTTTGGGCGCCCCTGTTTTCTCTTTCCCTCTGGTGTCCATGTAAGAGCTGTTTTGGCAGGTATATCAGAAGTCATTCTCATAACGTGGCCAAGCCATTTCCATCTTCTCTTGGTAATCATACTGTGTAAAGTTTCTTGGTTTGTGGCTTGAAGTAGTTTAGTGTTTGAGATTGTATCTGGCCAGAAAATTGTGATACATGTGCACATCAGTAATTAGTTGCCTTCTCAATATATATGTTGCAAGAAGGGGGAGGGAGGAGCTGTTCTACTCCCCCCCCCACCCCTCTTTCTGTTCCCCCTGCAATGGGGCCATGAAACCCACACAGGGTATCCTTAGTATTTAAAAACTTGATTTAATATTTCACTTTCAGTTCTTTTAAGGCTTTCTTGGAAGTTGCAAGATTTGTTACCTATTGTTCAATATCTCAACTTTTTGAAAGGAAAATAAACAGGCTCTGACCTTCTCATAATAGGCAATCTGCAAATCTGCTAAACACATAAATGTCTCCCTGAGGTCTCGCTGTTTGTGTTTGTGCCAACGTTCCATATCTGCCTTCAGGTCCGCATTGGCTACAACTGTTTTGTCATTCAGAGTCTCCATCTGATGAATCAACTGCAGAATAGCAAAGTCAGTCATGTCAAAACAGAAGCATGAAATTATCAAAATAGACAAACTACAAACAATAAACTACACATATACAAAATACACACTGAGCCATAAATCAATAACATAAAAATATATTTAGATAAATGCATACTAAAAAGTAGCTTCAAAATAATTTCCCAGACTAGGTTGATTTTTTAAATCTCAATAAATAATCAAAGTAAATTATAATACTAGGGATGCTAGTACAGCTTTATATATCAGGTTTTTACTTGCGAAACTATCACATCTGGACAGAGATTAAAATATTCAATATAAATATACCTCAATGAAGCCTGTTAAGTCAATTCTAAGCGCAGATGTTAACATTTTAGTGGTCACAGATGAATTTGAGTGTAAAATGACAAAAGATGGATACCAAGTTGTGTCCCAGTAAAATGAAGGGTTGAAATTACTAAATATTTGCATTTTATGGCAATAACTACTTTGTTTTTTAAAGAATCCCTTAGCAACTATATTTCATTGCAATCAGGGTAGTGGGGTCTAACTGTATATGCATTTCTTAAATACATATAATGCAATACATGCCTAATTAACATATAAAAATGGCCAAAAGCTCACTATTTTAAGCAAACTGTATAAATTTAGGTTATTTGCCAATGAGCTTGGCAAGATGTACACTGTATTAGGCAATCGGATGTTTTGAACATAAGAATCACAAAAATGTGCTAACACATGGTGACATGACCTGATTTACATATAAAGATGGCCACCAACTCAGTTGTTTTCAGAAGGCACTTCATGTGTTAATAGTTACGACCGGTTTGAAGTGTTTTTTTTAAGATTCATTGCACTTGGTTTCACCCCATATGGCTTGATCTCTCTTTGCACATTGGCTAGCCATCTGTCAAGAATGATGCACAAGTCCATTGCTCTAGCAACAATTCCCAGAGCCTACAACTTTTAAACTATGAGTTGAATGGCTTGCCAACAGTTACTGTATGTTCTACCTTTTCTGTAAAGTTTTAATTTGTTTGTAAATATTTTAATGGAGCAGAGTGTTAAATATTATGGATACTATCTAACTGATAGTAATTAGAATTTATACACTGTGTAAAAGTGACTGTGTTCAAAAATAGATATACACTTCTGCTCAGCTATGGATTAGCTGCACTTCGTGGGTATGTACTATTTGTGTATTGTTCATTTGTTGTTATAATATTAGTAGCTTAGTATGCATTTAAACCTAATTACCACATTTTACAAGTTTGGTAAAATTCACGATCTAGATTTGCTAGTAAAAAATTTCTCAAACTGACATAATTAACAACTGATAATTACAATAGGAACATTACAAAAAAACTGCTAATATGGCTACAGATTTTTAAAATTTCAATCACATAGCAGTAGTAACTTTGTAGGCATTAAAACTTAATTACGAAATATTACTAGTCAATGTGGCAACGTCTGGTGAAATTTACGATATTGGTTTGATAGTGATGAGATGAACAATTTTCAAATTGGTATACCACCAACTTAAAATTACGATAGATGCATTAAAAAAATATCAAGTGGTTGTAGATTTTAAAATATAGGTCAGATAATGCTAATCACCCTGCTATAATACAAGATTAAAAATTATAATAAAAATATGCACTGGCCGAGACTGCAGGATGATGGAAGGCTCAGTGAAAAACTAAACTTGAAAATGTTTTTAAGTCATGTCAAATTATAAAATATAATCAAAGTAAATATTTTAATTCTTCAGAAAAATTAAATATTTGTTTCATACAATAAAATTATTAGTAGATAAATATTTAATTATCAACTATAAAAACATGGTACAGAATCTGCCATCTTGGTCATTTTCATCGAAACATCGTTGGCACAGAAAATGTTTTCTCCAACAAAACATGTGGTTTCACAGATAGATATCAGTTAAATAACCCTAAATACTGATACCATATAGATAGCATTGATAAGTAAAGTGTACCAAATAATTTATATACAACAGGTGTCAATTGTCATATTTTTTTTTTGGACGCAATAAGGTCGAGCGCGTATGCCAGAAGTGGCAATCTAATGGCCACCTTACATCTTTAGTGATCCACAATAGAAGGGAACAAGATAATAGGAAATGAATTCAAATATTTGGGGGCAATCATAACATTACTAATATTAACTTAGTAAAGGCAACATATTAAGACAGGAGATGTCAGGGTCTTTATGAGGGAAGCTAACTGATAATATGAAATAAAATCAGGTGTGGGACCAGGATGTCTTTTGTTGCCTCTCCTATTTTTACTGACAAGAGACTGGATTATGTGTATAAAGACAGTGAATGCTAACACCAGGAACGACAATCAGTGGACCCCTACAAAACATCTTGATGATCTGAACTTCGCTGATGATATTTCTCTTCTGTCCCACTCATGGAATTAGATGCAAGATAAATTAAATTTCCTTGATGTGAGATCACAACAGCTAGGTCTGAAAATCCATGAGGGAAAGACAAAAATAATGAGAATAAATCAGGCAAATAGTAACGTAGTTTCCCTTAATGGCATCCCATTTAAAGATGTGGAGTCATACACCTATTTGGTCAGCAATGTAGGTAAAGATTGGGTAAACTAATAGAGATATTAAAATATGAATACAAAAAGCAAGAGAAGCTTTCACAGCGCTAGGAAATTTGTGGTGGTCAAAAGCAACCGAAACTAATACTCAACTAAAAAAGTTTAATTCAAATTTGAAATGTTGTATGTAGCAGAAACATGGAGAACAACGAAGGCAATTACTAATAAACTACTAAAAACATTTATTAACTGGTGGTGCCTGTTCAGAATAGAGGGAATTAAATGTTATGAGATAATCACTAATGTAGAGCCAAGGGAGAGAACTAAACAGGTTCCAGTGAACCAAGCGGTGAAGAAAAGATGTTGGCATTGGATACGGCACACGAGAAAACCTGAGAACAATATAACTAGAATGTCTTTGTACTGGAACCCACAGGGGCACAGAAATAAAGGAAGACCCCCCCCCCCCCCCCCCTCCCAAAAAAATGGAGAAGCGAGCTTGAGAGTGAAGTATAGGGGGGACATGGGGAGAACTGCATGCAACAGTGAAGGATAAAACGACCTAGCGGGAGCTGACTGAGGGCCTATTCTCCATCAGGGGTTAGAAGGCAGAAGAAGACTCATAATATCAGATGGAAGAGCCACAACAGAAGTTAAAAGCAGCTGTCAAGCAAAAGCTGAATTTCAGAAGATCAAAAGTATTATGTTGCAGGTCATTTTCAGTGATTGTTGGGAAAGAGTATAGCAAACACTAAACCAGATTTGTCTTTATGGAAATACAGGAATGTAAACAAGCAAATTAGAAAGAGTTTGGAGACAGGAGAGATAAAGTTTCTGAAGTTAATGTTGCAAATACTTTGAGATGTAGGAGTATCTAACAAAGATTGCTGCAACAAAGATACTGAAGGTATCATCATCATCCTCAGGTGCCTTGCCGACTGGCGTGGGCGATCATGCCTCTCCATAATCTGCGATCTCCTGCAGCATGTATCAGTTTGTGTGCCGATACACCTCCATGCCACCTGAAGGTATACACAACTATAAAAAGAAATGCAAGAAAGACACACTGAAGAACATGCAAAGATTAGCTGTAGAAAAGAAATTATGCCGGATAATCTAAAATGACAGCATGATGCATTCATTATTCTACATCACGTATACCAAGGACTGAGATATGTAAAGAGAAAATTTCCAGCACAATATGATTTAGCACAAGATGATGACTAAATTTACAAATAGTGACAATGGACTTCCGACACTAAGAACTGAAGCGATGATACTGAGAAGAATAATGAGAATATTGTAGAAAATGAAAACAAATGTGGAGGTACTGACAGCTGCAGATTTTAAAGATCATTTATCAAATACATAAATGAAGTTTACAGATGAGATGAAAGGAACATTTTAACTTTATGTGGCAACACAGCTGCAGAAAGAAAGCTTAAACTAGTGACAAATAATACATTTTGAATTTACTGAAGAGTCATGCTAACCAGTCTGCTCCAGATAAAACACAGAGCGAAAGATGACAGGCAATAAATTTTGCAATCTGTTGTTGAGTCTTCTTTGTTCAAATTCACAACCGGGAAACATTTCAGAGGGTTTCAGACAAAAAAAAATAAATTTTTTTTGGCTTCAATATGTTTTCTCACAAATCACAGTCATTACAGTGCTTTCTTATTCTTAATTATTAGTATTTTCTGATATGAAAATACAGCTGAATTTGTAGCTTCTACAAAAAAAGTGTATCTGACATTGGTTTTGTCTAACTAAAAACCTACATCTGTAATCTGTTGTCCCAGTTTCTCATGCTTCTGTTGCTTTACATCCTCAGGGTCTTTTCCCAGAAATGCTCCTATAGAGTATGTTTGATCTGATGATTTCACCTGCAGAAAGAAATCATCAGATACTAACCAGTTGCTGAATAATACAATAACAACAGTGCCGGTGATATTAGATTTGAGATTGAAATATTATCACATGACACATTTTGATGGATCTCAAGTCTATAGAAAAACAGCAAATGCAGTTAAAATATTTAGACAATATATATATTTTTTCAGCACTAAAATGTGAAACAAATTAGTTGTTTCTTAACTACAAAATCTGTTACAGTCCCAAGTTTCTATTGTAAGAAGTCAATAACATACACAAACACAGATAACTAATGTGAATGCTGGTGGATTTAGACCACCCAGGAATCAATTTTCACTGACTACTAAAAGTTAGCTTGGCATTTATTTAATCCTACTGTATTTATTCAAATGGAGGATGCACTACCCACCAAGAATGAAATCATCAATTAATTAGTTCATATATTACTCTGTTTAAATCTTTCAACATAGGGCTTGCAGTCTGTTCTGCCTTCCCCCCCCCTCCTCAGTATGTGCCCAGTATACAGCAAAAAATATCCTGATACAACAACATTAAAGGTGTTTAATGTTCTGAAGGAGATTGTGCACATTTGTATGGACATCGATGTCCCAGACTTGCAGGCGGTTTCTCTACTGATCTCCAAAGGGCTCAGCCCGTGATGAGTGGGAAGCTCAACACACAGGTGTGAGGTTACGCATTCATGTGCAGGATATGACGGTTCCTTGAGTGAGCTCAGGACTAGAGCATCATGTATCGGCTCTGAATTTATGGAAGCCTCCTTGCATGGCAGGGAATACCCATGATCTGTCCCAGTCTGCACGTGGTTGCCCTGGATGGTTTCTCTAGGGTATACATCATCATCATGTAGCAGGTCCTTTGCAGAACGTCGCTATCATCACAGTCTGCCTGAAAGAAACTCGGTCTCTTGCCAATTCTCCTGCCTCATATACTTTCATACTCAAGGAGTCACTTATATCCTGTGCCCATCTTCGTGTCGGTTCCTGCCCCTCCTTCCAGGTACCATGCCTTCTGCTATAGTTTTTTCCAATCCATGGTGGTGCTTGATATGACCAAAATATTTCAGCTTCCGAGAAAGGATGCCGTTTATTAGCCAATCTTCCTTGATGTTCAGATCTTTTAAGATGTCAATATTTCTCCTCTTCTTTGTCCAAGATATTCTGAGAATCTTTCTATAGCATTTCAGCTCAAAAGCCCCTATTCTCTTTCTTAAGGACTGAGAGATAGTCCACGACTCAAATCCGTATGTAGCCACAGGGAAGATGCATGCTCTCAAAATTCTAATTTTTATCTCCTTGCTGGTGCTTAACCATACTTTTAAGGCTGTTCAATCTTTGCATTGCTATGGTCATCCTCCTTTTAATTTCTGTTGAACAATCTCCATTGCTGTTTATTATAGATCCTAGATATTCAAAGTTTGGACATTTTCAATTTCTTCATTATTTATTGTTATTTTTGGGTGACAGCCAGTTTTATCTGTGGACATTATTATAGGGTATACTCCTGTAGTTAAAGGGACAAACAAAGGGAATATCACACAAATGAGGCTACAAAACCAACCAGAAATCCTAACCCTGAGAACTAATGCTTGATGAAGTCAGATGTGTCGGCCAATAGGCACAAATATTGCAGCTGTGCTGTAAACAGGCACAATGCAACTACATCACTCAGACGGATGAAAAGAATAAGACACATTAAATATACACAGACAAAATTATGTAGAAAATTTATAGCAGGATGTCAGGAATCACAGCCTGATATTAAAAATAAATGGTCATCTGTCAGTTTTCCTGAGGCAGTTGCTATCATCCTCATAGTGTTCCATGTACATCGGGCATAAGAGGCTAAACTCATTTTTTATAGACCAAATGATTATTATTGATATTATTATCCAATATGTTTAAATATGGCTGACGCAAAACAATCAAATGGATCAGTTATATTCTATAAAAGAGCTATTCAACTGGCAGTGTGCGGGCCAAATCTCACAAATGGCCTGCAGATCACTGTCAATTGTCATAAATTAATGATCTTTCTGTGATGGGGCTCAGGTCTCTGGCCCTTCACGTTTCCCATTTTCACAATTTAGGCCCTTGTGTAAACTGAGCAAGCCCTGTTCTATACCAAGACAAACTTAGCTGAGAACCCTGTTCTATACCGAGACAGCTGAGCAGCCCTGTATTTTACCGAGACAAACTTAGCTGAGCAAGCCCTGTTCTATACCGAGACAAACTTAGCTGAGCAAGCCCTGTTCTATACCGAGACAAACTTAGCTGAGCAAGCCCTGTTCTATACCGAGACAAACTTAGCTGAGCAAGCCCTGTTCTATACCGAGACAAACTTAGCTGAGCAAGCCCTGTTCTATACCGAGACAAACTTAGCTGAGCAAGCCCTGTTCTATACCGAGACAAACTTAGCTGAGCAAGCCCTGTTCTATACCGAGACAAACTAAACTGAGCAAGCCCTGTTCTATACCGAGACAGCTGAGCAAGCCCTGTTCTATACTGAGACAAACTTAGCTGAGCAAGCCCTGTTCTATACCGAGACAAACTTAGCTGAGCAAACCCTGTTCTATACCGAGACAGCTGAGCAGCCCTGTTCTATACCGAGACAAACTTAGCTGAGCAGCCCTGTTCTATACCGAGACAGCTGAGCAGCCCTGTTCTATACTGAGACAAACTTAGCTGAGCAGCCCTGTTCTATACCGAGACAAACTTAGCTGAGCAAGCCCTGTTCTATACCGAGACAAACTTAGCTGAGCAGCCCTGTTCTATACCGAGACAAACTTAGCTGAGCAGCCCTGTTCTATACCGAGACAGCTGAGCAGCCCTGTTCTATACTGAGACAAACTTAGCTGAGCAGTCCTGTTCTATACTGAGACAAACTTAGCTGAGCAAGCCCTGTTCTTACCCAGACAAACTTAACTGAGCAAGCAATGTTCTATACTGAGACAGCTGAGCAGCCCTGTTCTATACCGAGAAAAACTTAGCCGAGCAGCCCTCTTCTATACCAAGACAAACTTAGCTGAGCAGCCCTGTTCTATACCGAGACAAACTTAGCTGAGCAGCCCTGTTCTATACTGAGACAAACTTAGCTGAGCAAGCCCTGTTCTATACCGAGACAATCTTAGCTGAGCAGCCCTGTTTTATACCGAGACAAACTTAGCTGAGCAAGCCCTGTTCTATACCGAGACAGCTGAGCAAGCCCTGTTGTATACCGAGACAAACTTAGCTGAGCAAGCCCTGTTCTTACCCAGACAAACTTAACTGAGCAAGCCCTGTTCTATACCGAGACAATCTTAGCTGAGCAGCCCTGTTCTATACCGAGACAAACTTAGCTGAGCAAGCCCTGTTCTATACCGAGACAAACTTAGCTGAGCAAGCCCTGTTCTATACTGAGACAAACTTAGCTGAGCAAGCCCTGTTCTATACCGAGACAGCTGAGCAGCCCTGTTCTATACCGAGACAAACTTAGCTGAGCAGCCCAGTTCTATACTGAGACAAACTTTGCTGAGCAAGCCCTGTTCTTACCCAGACAAACTTAACTGAGCAAGCCCTGTTCTATACCGAGACAGCTGAGCAAGCCCTGTTCTATACCAAGACAAACTTAGCTGAGCAAGCCCTGTTCTATACTGAGACAGCTGAGCAAGCCCTGTTCTTTACTGAGACAAACTTAGCTGAGCAGCCCTGTTCTTACCCAGACAAACTTAACTGAGCAAGCCCTGTTCTATACTGAGACAAACTTCACTGAGCAAGCCCTGTTCTATACCGAGTCAAACTCAACTGAGCAAGCAATGTTCTATACCGAGACACACTTACCTGAGCAAGCCCTGTTTGATACCGAGACAAAATTAACTGAGCAAGCCCTGTTCTGTACCGAGACAAACTTAGCTGAGCAGCCCTGTTCTATACCGAGACATACTTAACTGAGCAGCCCTGTTCTATACCGAGACAAACTTAGCTGAGCAGCCCTGCTCTATACCGAGACAAACTTAGCTGAGCAGCCCTGTTCTATACAGAGACAAACTTAGCTGAGAAAGCCCTGTTCTATACCGAGACAAACTTAGCTGAGCAGCCCTGTTCTATACCGAGACAAACTTAACTGAGCAGCCCTGTTCTATACTGAGACATACTTAACTGAGCAGCCCTGTTCTATACCGAGACAAACATAGCTGAGCAGCCCTATTCTATACCGAGACAAACTTAGCTGAGCAGCCCTGTTCTATGCAGAGATATACTTAACTGAGCAGTCCTGTTCTATACCGAGACATACTTAACTGAGCAGCCCTGTTCTATACCGAGACAAACTTAGCTGAGCAAGCCCTATTCTATACCGAGACAAACTGAACTGAGCAAGCCCTGTTCTATACCGAGACAGCTGAGCAAGCCCTGTTCTATACTGAGACAAACTTAGCTGAGCAAGCCCTGTTCTATACCGAGACAAACTTAGCTGAGCAAGCCCTGTTCTATACCAAGACAGCTGAGCAGCCCTGTTCTATACCGAGACAAACTTAGCTGAGCAGCCCTGTTCTATACCGAGACAGCTAAGCAGCCCTGTTCTATACTGAGACAAACTTAGCTGAGCAGCCCTATTCTATACTGAGACAGCTGAGCAGCCCTGTTCTATACCGAGACAAACTTAGCTGAGCAAGCCCTGTTCTATACCGAGACAAACTTAGCTGAGCAAGCCCTGTTCTATACCGAGACAAACTTAGCTGAGCAGCCCTGTTCTATACCGAGACAAACTTAGCTGAGCAGCCCTGTTCTATACCGAGACAAACTTAGCTGAGCAAGCCCTGTTCTATACCGAGACAGCTGAGCAGGCCTGTTCTATACCGAGACAAACTTAGCTGAGCAGCCCTGTTCTATACTGAGACAAACTTAGCTGAGCAAGCCCTGTTCTTACCCAGACAAACTTAACTGAGCAAGCAATGTTCTATACCGAGACAGCTGAGCAGCCCTGTTCTATACCAAGACAAACTTAGCTGAGCAGC